GTTGAAATAATTTCCTGCTTCAGATATAACATATAGAAAGTTAAATTTACATATTTTGTATCTTAATAACAAACAAAATTATCTTTTTATACCAATCTTTCTAGACCTATATTATGAAGTTCTTGGTAATAAAATGGTTAATTTTTTAATTACAGTACATTATTAAATTATAATATTGTTATGACAGCAGAAGTCATGTGACGCTGGGAGCATCCGCGCTGGAGTTTCTAGAAGGATCATGACTTATCGAGGAACTTCGCGAATATCCGAGTGTTTGCCAGGCACCCTTTTTTAGTATATAAGCCCAGGCAAATAAGGCCAGCGATAGATATATATACAGATACATTGAAGAGATAGATAAGTGAGTCAAGCAAGCAGTAGCCACCATAAGTAAAGTGTGTGAATCACTGTGATTTATAGCATGTATTATAAAGGTTATTAAGCTTAAAGTGACTGTGGAAATTCTGTATACTAAAAAGTTGTATCAAGAAAGAATAAACTAGTTTTAATTAAGAAAGGATTTGTATCCCTGAAGTTCCTCAGAAAGAAATTATACCAGAACTTAACAAACGAGCGGATATGTAACAAATTGATGTCAGAAGTGGGATAGAAAAGAAAAAAAAAGAAGATGGAAACGAAAAGTGGTAAGCCAAACTACAGCTTAGCAGATTTGATGGTAGCAATACAAGAACAGCAAAAGAAACAAGAAGAACAAGAAAATAGATTACAGCAGTTGTTGGAGGTAAAAAAAAATAAACAAGAAGAGAAACTACAGCAGTGGTTGGAGGAGAAAGAAAATAAACAAGATGAGAGACAACAGCAGCGGTTGGAGGAGAAAGAAAATAAACAAGAAGAGAGACTACAGCAGTGGCAGAAAAACCAGCACCAGTGGCAACTGGAACAAGAAATGAAACAAGAGGAACAAGAAAAGAAACAGGAAGAAAGAATCCAACAGTTGAGAGAAAGCCAGCACACACAAATGGAAAAGATTAATAAATTTCAAAGTGAATTAAATAGATTAAAGGATAATTTACTGTCTTTTACATAAGGAGGATATATTAGCCATGGACATAATCAGCCCCAAACAATGGGAGCCCCTTCCAGACCCCGCAGCTAAACCCTAATGCAGACATCTTAAGTTCTGTCAAAAGTCACATTCCAGACATGAGTGTCAGCAACAGGCATGATCTAGTAAGAAGAAAGCCATAGAAATTCGAAGGGAAGGCACCATGGAAGCATATAGAGCACAATTTGAACTCCTGGCAACGAGCTTGAAGAGACAACCACTGGAAATACTTGGACAGTTGTCAGCAGACGACAGGCACAACTATAGAGCACTGGTAGCTGCTCTAGAACTCAGGTATGGAACTTAAAATCAGTCTGAAGTCTACAGGGCTAGGTTTAGGACGAGAGTCTGTGCTAAAGGGGAGAGCAAGAGCTGAAACAGGATTTGAAAGTATGGCACACAAGGCCTACTCAACCGCACCATCCGATGTCCTCAAGCTGTTGCTGAGGGATCAGTTTGTAGATGCCTTGGACAGTCCACAACTGAAGATACAAGTAAAGTAAGCACACACCTCTAATATGCAGGATG